CAGCTCCCTGCTTGAACGACTTCGACCAACAAATGTTGCACAAAGGGGCAAAAACATCAGGAAAAAAAGGGAAAAACTATACAGGATTCAGTCTGTAAAGAACAGAACACCTGGTATCTGCACGCTCTTGAGTGCTAATATTCAGTTCCAGTGTGAGGGGACCCTGGACACGCTAGCCCTGGCACAGCAGGGGACAATCCTGCAGGTCACAATCATGCCTGCTTGTACACACGGGCACAGGACATGGGCAACAACCCCAGGGCCTTCAGGTCAGACCACAGGGGCACGGAAGGGAACAGGGGTGTCCAGTTCTGGATCTGGGGGGCCAGTCAGTGTGGGTTTTCAGGGTCTCTTTAGAGCACCCTCACCTGAAGAGCTGGGAGAAGCCATTCAACTGGCCCAGTCCAACCAGTAACCAGCAGGCTGAGTTGGAATGGAAACCCACAGACGCACCCGCCCTCCAGGACTGGGACTGGACACCCCTAATTAAGTGTGAACCTGATGGAACCGAGAACCACAGACATAACCATACAGGTGTATTGCCCCCAAAAACTGTCGCATTCACAGCCGTTTCTTTCAATTCCTATAAAAAGATGCTTTAACAATGCCACCCTTAAAAATCACATGGCTGTCAGCTTCATTGGGGAAAAAAGCTGTACCAAAATGAACAGCCAGTCAGTCCCCTTTTCAGGGTTAGTGACATATTGCCCCCTCTTTATCATAACTCCGCTCAGATAAGGAAAACACCCAGAGGAACAGGTCACAGCTGCAGTTTCCTCACAGTGCTGGCCCCAGTCAGTTATTAATGACCACATTACAGGCCTGGACTGCAGGGTTAAAACAACACCAGCGCTGATAGTAGTAGAGGGCACAGGGGGCCCAGTTTTCCTTATCTTACCACAGTACCTGCACAGGAAGAGCACAGCCCCACAGGCTCAAGACAAGGATTCTGGACATGCAGGAAGGACTGCTGTTGGTGAACGCTATTTTATTTGTTTCAGTTATGAAATCCCACCAAAAATCATTTTCCTCGGCTGATCATTTCCACAAATGGAAAGAGAGCAAATCCTTATTGGAGCATGTTAAATAAAACAGGATGCAACCGGCCATTCCTAGACCCTGTAGAAGCCTACTAGCAGAAACACTGGCTGAATGTGAACTGTCCACGCTTTGGTCTCTACCTCGCACAGAACCCAGGACAGACCCACCAGAAAGCCCCCTGCCTTTTCACCACAGGACGCAGATGTTTATCAGAAAGGTACGGACACCAGAACCACCAGCAGCAGCAGCAGCATTCTGGCTTTTATTAAAAGATCCTGTCGCTCAAATGAGAACGACACAGGAAGAGATTGTCAGTTCTTCCAAGACTCACGACCACCTTGACCAAAAGGCAGACTTGTACAGCCTCTCTCTAAACCAGAGTTCCGCAAATAAACATTAAAAAAAAAACACAAAGCTCTCAGACTAAAAGGAAACAAAAGTCACATTGTCTTACAAAGAACGTGGTTGGGTCTCCCAGATTCTCCGTTATCTTGCTGGGTAACTTAGCTTAGCTCTCTGCATTGCTGGTGCAGAGGCAGGGACACCCCTGGACGACACAGAATCACAGCCACAGGGGACATGTTGAGACAGAACAACAGAGCTCACTTTTGGAAGGGACATCAATTTTTTCTTTCAAGTGAAGCACTTTGGCGACGAGACCACGTTGCCACTGTTGTGTACATTGTTGTGTAGCTGCCTGTGTACTCTGGGGTCTTCTATTCTATTCACCTCGAATCTGCAGCACTGCTTCTTGGACTAAAAACCGGCGAGATGGAGACCAGGTCTCCTTTCAAGCATTAGGAATCCTTGAAGATGTTCACCACACCAGGCTCACGGAACGCTCTGCGATCAATGCTTTAACCTGCACCGGAAGGCAGGAGATGGAAATCGGCAAAGCACCTCTGTCTACATACAGGACAACCTGGACACTTTCCAGTTTTAACAGCCTTAAACGCACAAACCTACAGACTTCCCTGAACACAGGAAAAACTAAAACAGGACCCGAGGAAGCACATTTAAAACCAGGAACACAAACGGCAGTGGGATTGCTGGACAAGCGGCCAGGCCACTTCGCTGGAGCCGGACCCTGGCTGCTTTCGAGCAGCTGGACGAGAAACGCGAATCGATTAAGTACTAAAAAGCCAAACGAGCTAGGTGGGCCAAAAAACTACTTGTGCTACTTAATCTCCTTCTTGTTTCTAATCCTTCTCATTTTCAGCCAATACTCTGAGACCATCAAGATCGGGCGTGACCCTCAAATCCATGAGCTGGGAGCAGCAGACACCCAGGAGGGGCAGAGCAGTCTCGGCTCGCGTGCAGCCTTTAGCATCATCTCTGTACCTGGCAGAACGTTTAAGAAGCGACACTGACACTGTAAAGCCCAGTGCAATATGAATACACCCCACCGCAACAGAATGGACAAGCAAAGATTACCACTCATTCCCCTTCCCACTAAACCTCCCCGTTTCTTCTTTTGAGGGGAAAAAAAAGGAGGATCTATCTGGAATCGAGAATTTCTCAACAGCAGGTAAGCTCTCTCTCCGTTGTTGATTCATCAGAGCAATCTGCCGAAAATCTCATCACACGACTCATCTGCTTTAAACTAAAACACGCTGTCGTAACACAGAACAGAACAACGCCTTTCTTTCCGATTTGAACTTAATTCCAGCTCAAATGGTGAATGTTTTGTCTAACCAGTAAGGGGGCCAAGTCTCTGACCAGAGCTGGAATTATTATTATTATTTCCAGAATAATTTTTACTTCACCCATCTTGTGGCCCCCAATCCCTCACCTCACCTGCCATTTCACACTGTAAAAGGGACACAAAAAACAGCACATCCATTTACCACAGGCTTCTAAAAAAATCCTACCACAAGGCCACCCTGCCTGCAGACCTCACGCTTGCCTAAATATATACAAATTACTTTATTATTCCTGCAGACCAAAATAAAGCCCTCCACTGGTTCTACAGACCAGTGCCCAAGCCGTGGTCACAAGCCGCCACAACACCGTCTCGTTCTCTAACCCCGCTCACTGCATCGCGCCTGACCCACCTACAGCCCCCCAGTTCTGCCCCTGAGCCGAACTCCCCTCCCCGGCACCGGTCCGATTCCGACCGGCCTCGCAGAACCCTCGGTCCTCCATTCACGACTCCCTTCCCAACCACGGGGGACACCTGACGCGTGAACCCCTAAATCACCACCGCCCCCGGGGTCAGGCTAAAGCCGGTGATGTGCAGAGAAGCACGAACGATATTTCAAGTGAGCAGGCCGGGTTCCGGATCGCAGAACTACGCCGGGGTCGGTCAAGAAGACGCGGCCCGTCCACTGCACAGCCAACAACCAACTCCTCGAAATACAGTAGGTGCAGGCGACTACAAAAAGTAGGAGAAAGTGGGGTAAAGTGCTGGAACAGAGTGGAGAATGGAGAGAACGCTCACTGCGAGCGCTACAAAAAAAATCACGTTTTCCACCCCCCTTGATGGAGGGAGGTGATGGGGGGGAGGGGGTGGACTCGCATTCTGCGCTATCTACAGGGTAAACACCTTTACAGCTGGAAACGTTTTAATTAGAGGGCAACGCAGTGTGTCGTTTCAAAAAAACAAAACGGACTTTCGTCGCGCTGCTGCCAGTCCCCGAGACAGAGGGGTTATTTTTCCTGTGCGTGTCCGAAAGTGAGAGAGGGGGGTAGGGGGTGGGAAGCAGGTATGCGAAACAGTTCGGAATTTTCTTCCACTTAGGGAAAAACGAACCCAGCAAGGCTCGGGGTGAATGGCGCTATTGACGAAGCCATTACTTCGCTGAGCGCGCCGTCCTTCACCCCGGCACCCGAAACAGGGAGAGCCCCGTGTGCGCTCACGTCCCACTTTCCCCATCGGGGCTGCGGGCACCCCAGCCCGGGGGGAGAGCGGGGCTGGACTCCTCGCCATGAACCCCCCCCATAAAACAACGAGGGCCAGCTCACAATGGCCCCCCGGGCCGAGAGCTTCACACCTTGTGCGTCCGAGGCACAAAGGCATTAAAGAGCAGCGCGGGGGCTTCCCGAGATAAAAATCTCGCCATTTACATGACCATTATCCCGAACAAAGGAAGGTTAGAAATTCGCACAATCCTCTCAGCTCGGCTAATTGCGCGCGCATTAACCTCTGACTACACGCAAACTCCCCTCTCTCTCCCTCTCTCTCCCCCTCCGTCTTCAAACGACTCTTCGCGTTACGGGCTTCTGCGATCCTTATCGTTCGTGAATCTCGTCTCGAGGGAGGAAACCCGGGCGATTCCGAGCAGATTCACTTCTGTTTTATTTCTCCCCTCCAGGAGTGACGGCCACAGATACAAAAGCGACAAAGCAATGAAGTCGGAAACAAAGTATGGCTCACGGAGACTGAGAAGTTCCCCCCACAGTTTCTGTTTTAACACCAGTAAGTGCTCACACACTCTTGAAGAAGCCACCAGATTTTTTGGAGATTGCGGGAACGAGTCGGGCGCACACAAATCACATACTACTCCATGTAAAACTGAAAATGCAGGAGTAAGGGGGAAAGGAGTGCACCACAGCTATCTTCCGTAATAACGTCCTTGACCTTTAAACCATCATAATTATACTTTAAAAAAAAAGATGGATCTCGCCCTCAAAACGAAACAACTGTACTTAGTTAAAAGCCGTTTTTAAAACGAAAACACTTCAGTCAGTTTGCTGCTCGGAAGCTGGAATACTTCTCCGGTCAGTTTTAAAACAGATTATTCACATTTCTCTATTAAAACAATTAAACAGCGGAAGTATTTTTTTTAAATGCCCAGTACAGCAGATGGATCGACGTGTTGCGCGACCCCACCAAAAGCCGCCGACCCCGCAGCCTGCATTTCAAAACGCGGTGTGTTTTTAAAACAAACAAACAAAAAAAACAAAGTTGTACCGAAACGCGAGTCCGACTCGCTCGGGACCCCCCCCCAGCGCCTTACCGTTGACCCCCTGGTGCGGGACGTCGTTGAGGTTGAAGCCCTTGGAGCTGTACGCCAGCCTCACCTCGGTGCAGCTCTTCGACTTCAGCTCCGCCAGCGCGGAGAGCACCATCACGGCGAGCGTGCAGAAGAGCGGCGGTAGCCCCATACCGGCCGGAGCGTCACCAACCACGGGGGGAGGGAGATAGAGACGAGAGCGACTCGGGGTGGGAGCTACCTGCTGTAGCGAAACTTTCTACTGCCTCGCCGTGCGCCTGCCGCTTCGCCTGCGGGGCGGTGCGCGGCGTGTCGGGTCTCTCCTCTGCGCTACAGCGAAGCTTTTAAGTTGCGCTCTCTGCTTCGGTCCCTCCTTTCGGCCCCCGCCAGGCGTGCGGACGGCAACTAAGTTTTCCCCAAGGGCTCGTGTACTGTACACGGAGAGATCTCCCCTGTGCTGTTCCCTCCGAGGAAAACTTTCCGTCCTCTGTCCCCCCCCGCTCCGCCGCCGCCGCCGCCGTGTCTTCTCCCCTTCTCGGGTTTTCCGGGGTTGCTGTTCAAAAATCAAACTTGAGCGGAACAGAAAACGCCAATAAAAAGCTGAAACTTTTGGGGTTTTTTTCTTTTAAAAAAAGGTGGGAGGGGGTGGAAAAAAACCCTGAAAACAAAACGGGGTAAATAACTCGCTTTGTAGTAACGCTGACGACTAATGTTCCCGAATGTGCGCCCCCCCCCACGGCGGAGCCGGCTGGCTTGACTAACAATAGAGGTAACAGGGAGGGGGGGGAAAATAAGCGAAAAGTTGACGGAAAGTTTTCTGTCGCTGCGCGCCCGGCTGAAGCGAGTGGACTGCTGGCGAGCAGCGCGCTGAAGGGGAGGCGATGCGCCGAGCTCTCGGCCCACCGCCAGGCTTGCGCGATCACGCCTGGGGTTCGGGCGGCGCGCAATCTCCGGCATGGATTCCACCTGGAATGGGCTCGCGTTTACCCCCCCCTTCTCCTCCTCCTTCCCCGACTTCTGTAGAAATCTTTCCAGCGCCGTTCCGGCCGGTGTGTGGTGGCTGGAAAGGCTTTGCGTTGTTTCGCCTTGCTAGAGACAGGTAATACGCAGAGATGACGTACTGGCGCACACACACTCTCACACTTCATCTCTGTCTTGTCATAACCCTCTTATAACATGGATATTGGAACTCTGCAGTAAATGACTTGGGGCAGACAGTTGGATAGCGTTTCTGGTCAGACGAGCGTGCCGGCGTACACGCTGGGACAGATGGGAGATGAGACCGCGGCGCGATATTGTAAGACAGAGCAGGGGTCCGGCTCTGTGACCCGGCCCGCTCGGGGCTGAGTTTGACATCTCGGTGTGAGGATGACAGTCGTGACAATGTCGCGGCTCACGCTGCACTGGGTCGCCAGTCTGAATTGAGCGCTGTTAGTAACTGGAGAACCGTTGTTGCAACGGAATGTCAGTGGCTCACTGATCAAGAGGGTCTCATCCAGCTGCTTCCCAGAACTAGTCAGGGGCTTCGGCAACACAACCGGACAGCGCCCTCCACACCCCCACTAATCTTTGTGTAAAGTATCTGGGGTGCCTGCAGTGCGCACAGCATCCTACTGGCCGGCTCAGCTCCGGGCTGCTGGCCCTGCCTGACTCCTGTTATACGCCAGCCTGGTTACCTGGGCCTTTGCTGGCTTCCCCACCCAAGCAGCCCCCCAAATGAGGGAGCTGGCTGGGACCCTAAACCTCGCGAGATTTCTGTGAATGAGAAGCGGGAGAGACTGAGAGAAGGAGTGAGAGGCTGGGGAGGACTAAGCCTCCGTCACGGGCTCCTGTCTGGGACTTCCAGGCAGAATCAGCTTTGTCATCATCACACCGGCTATATTGGTCGTCTGTCTTCGCTTGTCTGATTTGCCTGAGCTTGTGCAGGAGCTCGGCCCCTCCAGATCATGCCCTGCATGCCATGAAGGGAAGTGAGGTTCCATACCTCCACAGCAGAGGGCTTGTAATCCCAACCCTAACCTCCATACCAGAGGGCATGTAATCCCAGCCCTAACCCTTAACCCTGTCCCATAACCTCCATCCCTAACCCTAATGCATAACCCTAGCCACTAATCGTCAACCCTAACCCTAACTCAAACCCCTAAAGCCTGAGTCTAACCTTAACCCCCAACTCAAACCCCCTACCCTTTATCCATAACCCTAATGCCTTACCCATTCCCTGTGTGCTCCTTTTGCTGATAATTGTTTATGAGCTGTCTGCAATATCTAAGGTCCGGGTCCGATAAACCCTTAAACGTCTATATTCATTCTGCAATGAACAGCTTCTGCGTCGCTCATACAGCGGTAGAAGTATCAGTGGGGAGGCTGGGGTCACCACTTAACAGACCAGTGTTGCTCTTATTCCCACAGACCCTAACACGGCTTCTTTCGTGGCCAGTGACTAAGAAATACACACAATTCTTGTAGTGGATACAAGTAAATCAGAGGTGCTCCAAGCAATCATTTATGTATGAGAAGTTGAAACGTCTTGACCATGTGGTTGGAACTTGTTCATTTGTGTGTGAAAACACTTGGGAGGAGCATGAGGGGGCCTTGCTTTCTTAACTCTGTTGAAGCCAGATATTCCTCGGCATGGATGTCTTTACTTTCCCTGATTTGTCCAGTGCACCCTAAGAGCCAGCTGTAACAGGAGGTGACTGTGAGCCGCAGTGAAGGACTGACTGTGTGCCGGCTGGGGTGAGTCAGCATGCGAGTGCATGACTCAGCACTGTTTCGAAGGGGTTGGTGTGGGACAGTGTGAGTCAGGGATCACAAATTCTTTTTTTCCTGGCTTGGCATTTAATCAAGTCACAAACAAACGGCTTTTAATTTGTTTCTCTCCTGCCTTCCTCGGTTGTACAGGACTTTGAGATGCATGCTGGCTGTGAAATGATTTCTTTAAGCGCCGAGGTTGCAGCTTAGTTGTGCTTGCAGTGGCTGAGAAGCATGCATCACTCAGTGCAGTGTGTCTGTTAGAAAACTACGTGCAACAGGGAGGAGCAGAGTTTGAGAAAAGAGTTCTGAGTATTTTCTATAAGGAGTTACAGTAAATACCCTGTTGTGTAAATGAGAGCTCTCAATTAATATACCTGGTAAAGTAAAGAAATTAAAGATTGCTATCAATGTATTACATAACTATTATTTTTTTAATTGGAGAAAAAAAAATCCTAAATCCAGTTGCCCTGATGCAGCCAGTTTCCCCCAGTTTCACGTGTGCAGCTGCTGACTGGACTGAGGGAGGACCCAGTTCCCACACACATGCTTTTAAAGTCACCCTCCCTCTCGGCCCAGCATCAGCACCAAACAACAGGTGGACCAAAACATCCTGCTAATCCCATTTGCTCTCTGATGACTCACGTTACAATTCAACACATACTGAACGGATAAGTCAGCTGCTCCGTCCTTCTTTTACACATTTATGCAGTGATAACTGGCATCTATTTCCAATTGAAAGTTCTTTTCATTAAATTATTAAGGCACTGCCAGGTTAATGGACTGCCTGGAACTTTTGCGTTAGATGCCTCGTTAAGAAAGCTGTGGGGGCTGCATAGAAATTAGCACTTCAAAACGAGCTTTCTTAAAATGTGTCTGGTATCATTTTATCTGAGAAGATAAACATAATATCCACTGACTTTTAAGCACTCTCCACTCCTGGCAGGGATGGTACTGAGCAAGAGACTTGGATTCGAGAGCAGTGTGTGATGCATTTCATCTGACGCCTTTTCTAAGAAATTCACCAGAACAATGCTGCAGTAACTCTCAATCCATTTAGGTAATACTGTGTATACGCGAATTCTTACGATTGTTATTATTTAAATACTTTTCTCCAGTAACAAAAATCACACGATGCCTTTCTTTCTTAAATGATGAGCAAAGCAAACATGCCATTGCAATGTGAACTGGCCTGCGCATTGCCAATTAGTGGAGCAAAGCAGCAGTTTAAAAGGAGGAGATCGAGGCGTGCTTGTATCAGTAATACTGTATGAGCATGATCAGGTATCACCCCTGCCCGCATAACGCCCTCTGGTGGCAGGAGGACATACTGCAGCCTGCAGGCAGGAGGGCCCCTGCATTCTGTCTCCACTCAGTCCGAAGCAAGACACTCTTTGCACCCGCATGGCTTTTGTTCCTCTATTGTTCGTTTGCTTTCGGTCAGGTGAGCCTACCTCTTACACAGTATTTTGAAACAACATCCAGAGGAAATACCGATTGAAAACCAAATAGACTGTCACAGCCAACGAAGGCAGGGCATTGGATATGGGAAAAAAACACACCCAAGAGGGGAGGGCTGACAGTTGTCTTCCTCAGCCTTGCGGCAGTTACTCTGGACCGGCTGCGGTGTCCCCGAACACTGAACTCTTCAGTCGCACAGGTTGTGGGGTGAGGGAGAGGGGTGTGTGGCAATTTGAGGCGAACCTCTCTAGTTATCTCGCAGCTGTCCTGAGACAGGGCATTCCAGCCTGCCCAGCCCCTCCAGCTCCCCAATCAACATGTGCACCCCTGCCCCAGTGGCAGTTGCTGCATTGTCCCTGTGCCAGTTTGGCACTGACCACCCCAGGCCCAGTGTCTGTGGCCGACAGCGCGCACACACATACACACACACACACGCGTGCGCACACGCACACACACCCCCTCGCACAGCTTCAGAGTCACACTCGCACCTGTTGTTGAAAACCATTAAGCCAATCCCACCACCGACAAAAAAAGTAAAAAAAAAATATCCAGGACACTTTTTCCCTAGCTTCACTGAAGAGAAAAGCACTGGAGCCAGATGCTTCGCACAAACAAGCCTAAATCAGAAACACCCAGCTCCAGAGTTCCCGGAGATGTATCAAATATTGTGCACATGCCATGTGTGCTGCAATACGCACTGACTAATAATCCTATTGGCTAAAGGCTACAAGACATCCCTCTGCTCCCACACTGGGCAGAATAAATCCCACAATAAGTGACTCAGTAATTCACAGTAATAAGTGACCTGTAGCACTCAGACACAACAAAGTCATTAAGACTGGCTCCAGGATTATGCATTGTTTTTAATATTTAATGAAGACAACAGTCCGTGAAGTTTTGTCCCTCCAGTATTAATTTATTCTATTCTGCAAATGCACAGGATTTTACAGGATCTGCCAAAGACTTAAAAAGTCCTTTTTGATACATCAGTAATAGAAACACGTGTTAAAGATCTAGAAAACACACTGCTCACCTACCAGTTCTGCTACAAACTCTACAGTGCTGGTAGCTCATGGTGTGATGGGTCATTACAGGATGCAGTTTTTACAGTTTACATGAAAGAGCAATTTGCAAGACACGGGGCGCAAGGTCTCTTTTGGCTAGGTAGAGAAATCAGCCAGCACCCTCTGGTCTTACCCCCAGGGACACAACGCCTTACCAGAGCTCCAGTGTACCACGTCAGAAACCAGGCCAGAAGTGATGGAGTGCCCACGTCAAGGGGGAGACAGGTTTTGAGAAGTGAGTCGTGAGTGGAATGATTAACGTTCATTTTTTTCAGCATCCGTGAACATTTAATCCTCCTTTCCAGACAACAACTAAAATGTGCCCATCGCCCTTTTACACAAGTGATGTCAGCAGTGGCAGGAGGAATGCGCTTCATCAAACCCTCTTTGTAATTGGGGACACTCTCAACATCAGTACACCAGCTCTAGGGTTAACTGAGTGCTGTCCCTAGGGGCGCAGTTGGAATAGTACACACTAACGTGACAGCTCTGACAGGGAGCTCCTGCACTCCTCTTTACACAGTTCCTCCTACACAACCCAAAGGCATTAACATTTGGCAAGACATCTCCTCTGAGGACACACAGCCTCATCATATCACCCTTACTATTACTATTAACATCACTGATGTTGTCTGTACATGTATGACATAAATTAGCACATTCAATAATGTTAGTTCTGCAAATATATGTTATCACTCTTAACAGATCTAAATTATGGAGCTGTTCCCCAGTTGAATCAAAATATCTGACCTAAGGAGTCACTTCAAAAGAGGCAGGTAACAGACACAAAACAGCCTTTGTACACGACAGATTCAGTCACTTTCATTCCTTCCTGTGAGTGTGAGTGGTTTGGCTGCAGTAAAAAAACAACAACAACAACAACAACAACAACAACTGTACAAGCAGCTCTTTTCGTACCAGTCTGGCTGAATCCTATCACACAGATCAGAGTTCTTGCATGCAGCTTTCACCACACGGAGAAGCCCTCTTTCTCCCAGCATCCCTAGGTGTGCTGTGATGTCACTGGAGCAGGGAGCTCTTGGGATTGGAAAAGAGCTTCCCATGGGCTTGTGCACCCCAGAGTCTGAGTGAGAACCACTGCTCTTGTCCTGGAAACAACAAGGCAGTGGAGTTGTGGACAGGAACTCTAAATCCGCCTGTGTTCATTCACTGTCAGACGGGAGACGAGAAGCTACCTTTGGCACACAGAAAGAAGACACCAAAGCTAACAGCACGCAGGGACCTATTTACAAGCTATGAGGATTCCTGCCTGGGCCTATTGTGGGCAGTTCTGGGCAGTACTGGGAAGTACTGGATGGTGTGGCCCCGCGGAGAGGGCCCAAGTGTCTGAGACAGAGGGATCGAGCTGGTCAGTGAGGCCCGAGGAAGCTGAGTGCCAGCGATACTGCCACTGCGGCGGCGCCGGCTGCCCCCGGGTCTCCAGCGGCGGCCCCCGACGCAGGTCCCTCCCCGTGCCCGTCGGTCGCCATCCAGGGGGTCAGCAGCTGCTGGTGCAAGGTGAGGTCATCCATGGCCAGGTCGTCTGCCAGCTCTGCCCGGGAAGAGGGGGGGAGAGAGAGGGCACGGTCAGCGCTTGTGTGTTCTCCCGAGAGTCTGACACAGCCTGACATGAGCCTGACATGAGCCCCCCCTTTCCAAATAAGAGGTAACCGCGGGGCTGTTCTGCAAAAAGGCCGAGGAGTGGAAGAAAGCACCCCCCCAAAAAAAATCTGGGTTCAATCCACGATCAACAGAGAATACTTTTTTGGGGGGAATAAAGAAAGTTTTTTTTTTCTTGCGGGAACTGTTCCCAAGTGTTTGACATGATCCAAAGGCAAATATTTGGAATTTTTCTGACCCAGGGGCGTGTCCACAAGGGGTTTTGTGCGAGTGACCCCAGTGACCCCGCTGACACCCCACTCCTGGGTGACGTTAGCCAGGCTGATTCTCACCCCTCAGCTCCTGGCCCCCACCACAGCCTAAAACACCCCCCCCCCGGGCCCCTGCGACTTCACAGGTATGGGCCTGGCCTCTTCCCGGCTCTGAAAAGATCAAACACCAATCTGAAAACGCCTGAATATACTTCTCCCTTCTCTCTGTTGATTATTTTCATTTTTTTAGAACATTGCTATTAGATTCTTTCTCTCACCCTCACTCCTGACGCATACTCCATTCTTTCACTCTCAGCTGTGTTTGACATTAGACACATTCCCAGGCTTCTGTAGGAGTAAAGCCCTGCTTTGTATTTTTAACTGCTTTTCATTCACAGAGCATTGCCAGGCCCCACTCTTACCAAAGGGCCTCGTCTTCCCCCTCGTGCTGTCTGCTGCAGCTCCTTTAAACCGAGCACAAAATATTGATCTCTACTCTAAATATAACCCACCTCTTTCAAAAATCAGCACAATAAGGTAAAAACAACACCTGTTTAACCCAAAGCAGAGTCGTGTTAAGGCAGAGCGTGACCTGGCCGACAGTGGGCGCAATCTGATGGTCCTGCACTTACTCCTGCATACAGGGGACAACTACAGAGACACCAGCTAACCTGGGCCAACATCGAACCCAGGACCTGTAAGGCAGCAATGCAAACCACCTAGCCCACATGGGGATTTTAAAACTGAGGCGCCTCACCAGACGCCAAACTCCATTTTTATTTTACGGTCCAGCCACCGGACTGCAGGTAAATTAATAAAGCACAAGGTGTTTTAGGGGTTTGCATGTGAACTGATAAAGTGGACACTGTTATAAAGTGGACACTGTGGTTGTATACCCTGATCACTTCAGCCCACCCAGGTGTGCAGTCATCATTAACACACCTGACGGCTGGCCATCCCAGTGGAGATCTTGTACTCTCAGGACAACAAGAGCTGAGAATGATATGGGAGCAGCGGACAGGGGGCTCGTCAGGATGCAGGAAAGCTCAACAATCCAGAAAACGTGCAGCATTCTAGTACAGTGTGAAACAGGACAACCAGATGGAGGTCGTAGGCCTTACGGTCTTTTTAAAATAAACACTTCACCAAATGTGCAATTTTTTTTTTTTTTGGTGAGCTGCAGTTCTTGTTAACTTTTTTACCTTCAGGAATTTGAATGGTAAAAATAGGAATTTTGCAGTTTTGCAAGAGAGCCAACCCCCTGTGCCTTCTCTCGGAGCATAGAGTGGCCAGGAGGGCAGAGTCCTCTGTCCTGTATCTCAGCAGCCACACGTGTGCAGATAAGGGACCTATTAAAGTGGCCAATGGTAGATTTCCTGCAGCAAGTGTCCCTTCTAATTTGTTTGCAGGGCTTCTGTCTCCACGTATGTAGATTTAATACAAAGGGAAGTATCTGGAGAGAGGAACGTGCGTCCGAAAAGTGCCCTCTGTCCATTACACCCTGGAAGACAGGAGGGGGTTCAAGCTGCCCACGCAGAGTTATGAGAAATACAATACATATTCATAATAAAAACCAATACTGAAGCATGCCAGCTACGCAGGGGTAGCTGAAATCATCTCCCGCTGGGACAGATGGTCAGCATCACAATGTCTTTTTATTAAAGTTCAGACATTGAAGATTTCCCTGCCAGCCAGGAGGAAGACATTTTTCACATATTTTCTCCGGCGGAATGAGACATAAACAGAGATACCGACACTGGCAAGACATTCCATCTATCTCTTTCATTTTGTTATTGTCCCTTTTTTTTGGTTTTGAAAAAGGTTCGCCGTGGTACATTGACGCAGACCTGCAGTTTCTCTTTACCCCCAGCTGTGCTTTCCCAAGTGGCTCAGATGTGTCGCTCGTCCCCGACAGCCCGTCTCAAAGGGACAGAGCGTGCACCTGGTGAAAAATTAACTCATCACTGCATGCAGTCCCCGCGTGGCGCAGAATGATCGCTCACTGGCACTGTGTAATTATTAAAGTCCTGTATCTTTCTTCCTGTCCTTGTCACTGTGAAGAAAACGGACCCCCCGGGACTCCCCCACTCCCCACTCCCCCCAGAGCTCCCCCCACTTCCCCGAGTGACAGAGACATCGCGGAGAGCACCAGAGAGCCAACCGCTGGCACTGTGGCATCTGAGAGTGCTGCCATCGCAGACAAGTAGACACATCTCGGTGAGGGGGTGGACTCTGTCCCTCTGGTGATTGTGACACTCATTCTGGGTTTTGAAACCAAGGACAGCGCGCAGGGAAAAAAAGAGGCTAAACAGGCAAGTGGATCAATTACTGGTCAGCAGTCAGCGCTGGTGGTTTAGGGCCCAGTTGGAAAAAAAAACCCCAGTGCAGACACAGGGTAACTCCAAGACCAGGGCTGAGGATCACTGGACTAAACTGAATCAGTTCACAGTGAAGCCCAGGCCTTTCCTTCGAGCAAACTATGAAAACAACAGAGCAGAATAAATATACTGTATTAAGATGACCAGAAAGTTCATTCTCCTTTAGTCGCAGGAGGGCAGCCAGTAAACCCTGTCCCAGCCCACACGCACAGGCTGTCCACTGACCTGATGCTGGGATGCTCAAAGACCACAGACAGCAGAGCTCCCCCAACACGCAGAGCCCAGGAGCCTGAACCCTGCACGAGCTCATCGGCTGTCCCACCTGTGCCTGTGTCACTGAGTGTTGTGTGTGCTGTTCTGGGGTCAGTGAACCCCCTCTGCCCCTGTGGACAGTTCATCAGATACTGTAGGCCTCTCTCTGTCGGTCTGTGGCCACACATGGCAATCCCCACCGAGTTCAGTGTTTGCCAAGTAACAAGGCCCTGACCCACGGTATGAAATGATGACACAGCACGTGATCCTGCAGTTTTTAAAAAAAATAACTTATTAGAAAAGGAAACCGGGAAGTTTTCCGTTACAGATCATGAATAAGCCGAGAAAATGTGTGTTTTTTTTTCTTTCAGGCGCACACACACACACCTTGATACTATCTGACATGGTACATACATTCAGCAAACACACAAGAAATGTCAGATAAGGCTGAAGAATGCAAGTACCAAGCACCGATCACACACACTGAGCGATGGGAACACAGCTCTGGGGGGTTGTTCAGAAGATATCTTATCCAAGAACAAACCTCTCTCTCTCAACTCTGGGTCAGGTTATTTTTCTTTGAATGACCTCAAAGGTCATTCAGGGGTTATAAAGCCGGCAGAGTCCCACTGCCTTTTAATTCATCACTCATTGCACTTATATCCCAGAGGACCCTGAAGCTCTTTATATACAGTATAGGAAGGGACCCATTTCCTCCAGCACTGCGGCGGAGCCCCCACCTGGGTGACACAGTGGGCATTGTGCCCCAGCAGCCCCAGTGCACAGCACTCCTTCACCAGTTAAGTTAAAGGTGGGGTGGCAGAGTTTATCTTGAATTAAACTTTAGGGAGGCCAGTGTTTACAAGACAGGAGTGCAAACACCTGCATCTCCTACAACTACTCGGGACAAAGTGAATCCAGCCTTCTTATGTATTTTTTTTTTTACAAAAAAGCATGTGTGAACAGGGAAAAAAAACAAACATGTAGATGGAAAGGCAACTAAAAATAAACTTGGGGCAGTCACAACCTATCCCCACCTTAAGAGAACCGCCACCTAAACACCTTGCTCATAACGGTGTTTGGCACTTGTGTCCTTTGGGGAGCCCATGTCGAATGTCAGCTCAACCTTCATTTTGTCATGCTTTCAGAAAAAGACTGGAAGGGTCATGCGTCAATGCAGCTGGCAGCCAAATCAGAAATGAAAAAGACGTTTAACAACGAATACATTGTTCATCAATCAAGCTGCAGCCTTAAAACGTTATAGCAGCCCTGTTATTCAAGGCAACGTATATACAGACTTATTTATACAGCTGAGTATTTGACCATCACAATTCAAAAGGCTTCACCTGGGTTTTGGACCCACAGTCTTCTTATTACAAGTCCAGACCCCTGACCACGGCTCCACTTTGTTTACCCAGCCACCACTGCTGGGGAAAGGTACGAGGAATTCACTGCGGTTACGAGCTCCATCTGTCCCTCCACTTTCTAACCACCCATCCATTTCTAATCCAGGGAATTAGACAGGAGCAAGGAACAGGTGAAGGCAGGCTACACCCTGGACAGGACGCCAGCCCCTCGCAGGGGAGACACTGACCCAGACACAAACTCACCCTCACAAATTAGTGGTGTAAAATGTATTTGATCAATGAATAACACGTTTGTAATAATTACTAATAAGGGAAAGAGCTTTTAAGGGGTTACATGGCACTTTACGTAGTGACAATAAACACTATATCGCTGTAACTAATGAATGTTTAAAATGTAAAAAGTTTCATAAGCAATCTGTTACACAAAGTAACTTGGACCGGTAATAGATTACATTTATAAGTAACTTTCCTCCACAGTACCCCCTCCCCCACCACCCCCCCCTGGGGTCCACATGACTGGGTCTCAGACTCTGGTGGTGCCTCTCTGGCTCATTTCAAGCTCAAAGGCCAGACGTCTTTAAAGCAGAATAACGAGGTAAATAAACAAACCCGAAAGGCAGAACTCTTTTCAAGATTTCTTTCCCATTACAGCAGAGCTTGAACTCCGGCCAGAAGATAATTTAACTTTTATATCCCATAACGATGCTCGTACTGAAATTCTTTCCATACTGCAAGGATTATCTGTCATCGTGGCAGCTCTGCTCTGTACTGCTACATTAATTAAATGCAAGGTGTAACATGATAGCGTATATATATATTATATGTGTGCACACATATATATAAACAGTACCATGTAATCCTTTCCCAAGGCAGGCTGTAATTAGCTGGAGATCACGTGGTTATCAGAAGCCCTCATGAATCAGAAACTGCTAAAAAGCAAGAGTTTACCACTTTAGCTGTGAACTGTGTCAGAGCTCTGGTCTGTGGGTAATTTGTAGTAATTTGGGGGGGGCAAACTGACCCCCCTTCCCCCTCTTTGCTGAGACTTTGTAATGCAGCTCCCAGCTGCCCTGTCAGGAAGGAGAGGAGCTGTGTTTTGTCGTTCTGCGCCAGATACTCTCTCTTTCGCACTCATCCTCTGCGGGCAGCCGGGAGACGGACGGATGGAGAGAGAGAGAGAGAGAGTGGGGGGCTGCAGACAAACAGATACAGGTGCTCCAGGGAGGTTCTCCTGGAATGGGCTTTGATCTGCTGTGATTTACGGTCCTGACTCAGCGCCGCGGCACACTCTGAAACCGATTCGCCAGGGAGGGGGAGCAGGGCTGGGGGTCGTGTACAGAGGCGGCAGAGGTACCCCCTCAACTTGGCGCATTTACCAGTTGAAAAGAAGGACAAGCCCGCTGCTGGAATCAGGCAAGTCAGGCGTGCCTGTTACCTGTATTAAAATGTGCAGCACAGTTGCAATGGCAAGAGCTTACAGCCCCAGAGAAAAGCACTACAGCCTTTCCTGTGAAACATATCCTGTGTCATATATTTAGTTTAATGAACAGTTATCAGAGGAGTCACTGGCGCAAGAACAGACATCCCCAGCTGGAGCTCAGTTAATTTAGTTCAAACTGTCTTTCACTCGGTTGAATCAGTGTTCAATAAAGCTGGGAAACATATAACAAATAACAGATAAAAAAGTGCAGCTCAGTTAACAAACAGTGAAGTGCGAATTCACATGAATAGTGCCAACGGTTTTGTATGTAACTGTAAGAATATCCGATAATAAGAGAGCCTGTAGCTGATTGGAGGCTCTTTGGTTCATCTGACTTGGGAACAGCATGTTAACTCACAGTTTTGGGAGAGAGTGGGTTTTTTTATGATAGCCCAATGTCATAATGGGCCTCTAAACCTTTGGGGGCAAACGATTCCTGAGGGAAACAGGTCCATCTGTGAGGCCACAGCTCCAGTGAGTTTATAGGATTCTTCACTGTGTGTACAGATCATGTTACCGCAGGGGGTCAAAGGTGAAAGGTCAGTCCATTACTCAGGCGGTCTGAGGCAGGTCCATTCTTTCCAGTTGAGATAATAAAAGAGTAAGCGGATTGTCTACTCTGAGACAACACAGCACACACTCACCCACTCAAATCCTCTTCTCTCTCGCAGTCGCTCATAGCTCTTCCGTCTTTTCAGCTGGAAGAATGGCCAGACAGCAGTTTATGGATTTAAGTAGATGTTTGGGTGTTTAGCGGTGCTCCAGAGGTCAGGAAATGCTCCCTACCAGTCTGAGAACTGTCTGCGCATCTGGCGGCATGTGGCTCCCAGCTGATGCCTCTCATAACACATAAACAGACATGCAGTGTTCAACTGACACACACAAACACACACACACACACATACACATACACACATACACATACACACACACCCCGTGATCTGCTGTCTTCACAGGCCAGTCCTCCAGTGTCATTACATTGTGACTGGACAAAAATCAGAATACTCCAGCAGAGTATTTTTGGAGAGTTCCCTTAATTCCAAGTATTGTGCACGATTCCCTGCTCGTTGCGGTTCAACTCTCATAAAAGGCTTCTTCCACCTTAGGAAATGTCAGGGTGCTCAATCTCTCTCCCGGATAACTCTTCTCCAATCAATGCACTGAGGCAGAAACCTAGGATTTTCACCCTGCTGTCACCCTGGATACCCTTTCCCACGAACGGGTGGGGTCAGAAATAAGTTCTGCTAACACAGGAGAGTGACCCAGGGGTTCCCAGGTGGATCAGCGCTTCCCAGACTGGTTTTGGTGAGACCGCTACCCCCTCTTTCACTTCTTTAACCTGTCCTGTGGTCTCCCTGGGGGATTTCAAAGTGTAAGATGATACGAGTCTTCAGAAGTTTCCCCTGAATCCCCCCACTCCGCTGTCCAATCACAAAAGAGTTTTTCAATGAATGGGAATACGTCTCCAGGTTTTGGGAAGTCTGTCATGCTTTTCTGCCTGCCACTGACCTTACAGCAGTTGGAAAAACAGTAGGAAATAAGTAATTGAAGGTAAATTACTACATATATGAATAATTAATTTATTACTTATATTAGCAATAATAATAATAATAATAATAATAATAATAATAATAATAATAAAGCCATAGTTTCAAATCACTGCAAGGTTTTTACCCTGGTTCATATACGCGACAGTTTTCCAAGGCTTTTAAAAAGAGACTGCAGGCTCGGGCACCACCATATTCATGTTTGTGTGCACGTGTGTGTTTGTGCACGTGTGTGTGTGATTGTGTGAAAAAGTGTGTGTGAGTGTGTGCGCGTGTGTTTGTGTGCATATGTGCAGACAGGCAATGTGAGGATACACGATACATAGATACAAGTCTTAAAAACTGACAACGTCATGGGCAGTAGCTTTGTTCATAAGTTAAATTTTACATTTTAAATATGAAATGCGACTAAGAAACTACTTGTTTTAGTGTAGGTCTGTTTTCACACTGTGTTTAGTTACATTTTGGTGGAGTATATAAATTATTATATTATATGATTTAAATAAGAATAGCATGAGAGTCAACAAGAAGGACAAATATAGTTATACAGGTGTGTGAGTGCAGGATTATGGGTGTATGAGTGTGATTTTCTTTATGTTCTTAAAGAACAGGCAGCAGTTCCATACAGGACTGCTTGGACAAGTGGCGCTTAAGTGTGGCTTAAAAAGTTTATCCAAGTGGACATTTAAGAACCTGCACAGAAAACTGATAATTTCCCACATTTCTGCACATATTTATACACACTGAGTATATCAACAACTGTAGAACTCAATTTGCCATGAGTTGTACTTGACCTGACAGAACAGATTTAGTCGTCGAAAAGAACATCCATTTTATTCACAAAGCCCCTTGAAATAGTATCATTTAAATCATCTTGGACATTTTAAAATAAATATATTTACTAAATTATTAGTAATTAGTAAAGAAAAGTGTCCTGCATAGTACAGACGTGCTCCTGAAAAAACACCACAGTTGTAGTCCAGTCACATACCACGTGCTTCGAAAAGAGAGGGTTCAAGAGATGCAAAGTATTCTCATTAAAATGAGTGCCAATATTGACATTTTACGATAATCTAGAACTACACTTCCTATCAGGAAGTGTGGCATTTCATTGAAAGATCACAAAAATGTCTCCACGGCCCTCTTCGCTACTTTTAAAAATACCGCAGAGGTGCAGGGGGAAGGTTTTGGGCTGCGCTGCACGCGCCTGCATGGATGTCACCGACAACAGCTCCAGGCCGAGCTCAGGCGATGAATGCAAACAAGTTTATTGGGCTAATTTGGTTCTGCAGAGCTGAACTCCCATTCAGGGGACGTGGCCTGGGCGGCCAGGCAGGGCGCTGCGAGCGTGCGAGAGTGCGTGTCCGTGTTGGCGGGAGCTGGCCTCCCACAGGGGCTGCTGGGAATTCGGCACTCCAGGGCCAACACAAACCCGGCTGCCCCTGGGACAAAGCCGGGAGCAGCTTTGACCTGAAAGCAGATTAGCGTGGCCGTAGCTTCCCCCGCGTCTGGTAGACAGCTATTCTAAAACTGGAATAACTTTGGCAAGAAGGCAGATAAAAGGGAGAGAGAGAGAGAGAGAGAAAGGGGGGAGACAATAGGGTCCCTGGGTGAGAGAGAAAGCACGGCAAAGCGAGATCAGGGCGGTGGAGCCGACTGAAAGAGAGAAAGAGAGAGAGACAATGTGACGAAGAGGAGGAAAAGATGGAGGAGGGAAGGGATGCACCCCAAGCTGCCCTGCCTTCTCACCCAGCTCTGGAGCTCTTCTGGCCTGTTAGGCCCAGCCTGGGCAATGCTAACTGGACACTCGGCTTCTATCTGCCCCCCTGCACTAACCCTCCCTCAGCTTGCAGCTCTTCTCCCCACTGTCCTCCTGCCTCTTCAGATATCAGCCCTCAGGGGATACAGCCAGCGAGGGTTTATTAGGGCAGGGTCAGATGTGTGGCGGATGAGCCTGAGTACGCACAGCTCCTCGGTACACCTCCCACTCGTTCGCAAAACACAGAGGGCTTAGGCTGCCACTTCACATCTCAGCAGGGACCCGAGACTAAAACCCAAACCACAACAAAAACAACATATAATATATAATCATGTACTGGTAGTCCTGAAATTAAGATGTTAAGCTTGACAAATCTGCATGATCTGCAGGGCATGATGTCAGTCAGGTGTGATGTCAGAGCATGATGTCAGTCAGGTGTGATGTCAGTGCATGATGTCGGCACTTAAGGTTAATGAGCAAACTTCACATAGATGTATTATTTTTTACTGTATATTTTTATTTTAACAAAAATATTGTTACATATTTCTGTATTATTTTGTTTTAGCATACTCACTGTGTTTTGTAGACTACATAGAATAAAAACATCTGGCAATGTTAGAAGGCTGGGCTGCTAGTGCCTGCCTGTGCTGTCTGTGTGTGGGACTGGCTCACAGTGGGAGGGGTATCTCTCTGGGCGACTGTGTTTGTGTTAATTGGCCATTTTCCTTCACAGGCTGCTCTCAGTTATATCTGGTCAGAAGCCCATATTCCAGCAGCTCTCATCAATGGCCGCTCTGTGTGACAAATACGAGTCAACACCTATTAATTAGCACCACGATGGCAGAAAAAAAGTGCTGCTTTCTGTCTGAAGTGGACCGGGCCTCCGACACAGCTCACAAACCATGTCTATCAAAGCTCATGGATAATTCGATTTCATTGTATATTTATAGAAACAGAAAAGTACTGAAGCTTTAAAATTTGTGTGCAGATCACCGTTAAACCTTCTTTCTCAGCATTAGGAGAGTGGAACACAACAGCACAGAAGAACAGAGTCAAGAAAGACCCTGCAAGCAAAAGTTATGCTTCCACCATCTCTATGAATCTGCAGAAAGCAAAACAGCAAAGACTGGGATAATTCCACAGCTGTTGTTTGTTTCCAACAGTAAATTAAGAGGAGGTTTGGTTTTAAAGGCCAGGCTGGGAGGAGAGGTGGTGAAATAAGGTTCGGAATAGTGGGGAGAGCGCAGAGTATGGAGTTCTGGTGCAGAACGGTGGAGGCCAGAGGGCTCTGAGCTCCACTGCCCCCAGGATGGAGACTCCCCAGCAGTGAGTCAGTAATCTCAAAGTCAGTAAGAATAAAATCAATAAAAAGCAGACACTACATAGCCGCGCAGCAGGGCCCTACAGCTAACTAACATAAAGAATCATCCCTCCCTATTCTAACCACCTCTTCCAATTCAGGGAGCCTATCTCACTCAGCAGCGGGTGCAAGGCAGGGTACGGATTGTCCCAGTATGTCTTTGGACCCTGGGAGGAAACTCACATGGACACGGGGAGGACATACAAACTCCACACAGATAGCAATCCAGGAATCGAAGCTGCTCATGCTCATCACTGGGCCACCATGCTGCCCTCCATAGAAGATCACTAGGAAAAGTTCACAGACACCAATTAACCAAGCTGGCACATCTCTGGAAGGTTGGAGGAAACCAGGACAACAGGACAAAATCAGTACAGACCCTGGGAGAGCATGACCACTCAATAACAGAGGCGCCCCAGTCCACAACCTAGCTGGGAGGCCATGGCTTTCATGAAACCATGTCACTCTTACCCCACAGTCTTGAATTGAATTATTTTTAATGTGTTTGATATGATTCCCCCACTATGCTGCGGCATGGCAGTAAGAATGGCTTTCATTCTTAGAACTGAGGAATAAAATAATCCATTTCACAGACCACAGGCTTTAGAAAGTAGGCTCAGGATAAACTGGCTATAAAGCCGGGTCTGTTCTCTTTGCCCCCTTGTTTAAATACCAGGGCATTACAGCACTGCCTATGTTGGCCGGTTCAAATTGTTCTCATATTTATTTAACATTTCAATAAATTACAGCAAGAAAACCCACCAGCGCCAAACTGTTTTCCTTGCAGAGTGCACTTGTCATTACACCTTCAGGAGTTAATAATTGCTCTGTGCTGGAGCTGCAAGAAGCTGACCTCTCAAGATATTTCGGGTATGTTTCCTCCAATTCCCTGCTAAAACACACGCCCACGGTCTGTTGACACAGATGTTGGCATGTTTCATTATTTTTCTGCAGGGCGTAGGGGGGTGTTTGGACTGGATTTGAGAAGCGGTGTGCATTACCAGAATGGTTGTTTATAGTGCTGCAGAAATGACGGAACACTGTGGTTGGACCAATCCCTGTTATTTTTAGCAGGTTTTCCGGAGACGTTTATTCGGATTATTTACAGATGAACGAGATGCTGTTTTTTGCTTGTCAAACATCTGCTCTTGCATACCCCCATGATGACCGTGCAAGACAACAAGCAGACATTATCTTCATATGTCTGAGGCCTCTCCCCCTGTTGTCACCCCCACCGAGCCCTTTGAGAAAAGCCGTACCTCTTCTGATCTAACACTTTCAGAATCGGGCTGCATGGTGGCTCACTGCTCAGCGTTGCTGCCTCTGCATGGAGTTTGTATGTTTTTCCTGTGTTCGTGTGGGTTTTCTTCAGGTGCTCCGATTTCTTCCCATGGACCAAAGACACACTGGTAAGCCAATGAGCTTCTGGGAAAACTGGCCCTGGTGTGGGTGTGTTTGTGTCTGTGTGAGCCCTGCGATGGACTAGCGTCTCATCCAGGGTGTATCCTGCCATGCATCTGTTGCATGTTGGAATAGGCTCTGGCTCCCCAACGATCCTGAATTGGAAAGAGCAGTCAGAAAAGTAGTGGATCAGACTCACTTGATCCGGCCCAGTACAGGTTTTTGTAAAGATGCAATCGACCTAATGATCCCCAAATTAAAAAATTCCTTTAACAGAACGTTAAGCCCTTTAAACCTGGGAATATATCTGGTTGTGTTTCAGCGTTTTCTATTTTATATTTTATAGCTTATATTTTTTCTACCTTCATGCAACTCTCTGCACTTGTCTACCTTAATTACTATCTTCCAGGTATCTGCCCAGAACTGGAATTTTAGCTAAATCTTTTTGAGTTTATAGCTACTGCCACATCTGCAGCGATCTGTGAACTTGATTAGTGTACTAACTATACCAGAATCTAGGTCACTGATGTAAATCAGGAAAAGCAGTGGTCCTAATTGCATTAACCCAATTGGAGCACTTACCCCTTTTATCTAGCATGTGATTCCCTTTTGTATAAAGGATCCTTATATAGGAATGTACGTACAGTAAAAGAGATCTAACAGAAAAAAAACATGTAATGTTAAGTAACGATGAATTGACTAAGTGTACTGGTCAAAACAGTCCCTATAAGTGCAGTGCATGTGGTTGGAACTACTGTGTACCTTTGAGCTCCCAATGTACACTGCAGCAAAGGACAGGTCAGCAGTACCCATGGGCCCCTCAGAGACCCAGGGAGGGACAATACAGCACCATTCTCATCTTACACTATGGGGGCTCTTCGATTAGCACAAACACCACTGTTTCTAAACTCTAAACCTACCTCTAAACTTTCCACTTGTCCCAATATGTCCAGGAAAGCCGTGCCTAAACACTTCCTCATCATAGGAACATTTTCATTGCTTTATCATTTGTTTGTTAAAAACAAACATATAACTTAGATTGCAGACAGTCAGCCAGCATGGCGTTAATGACGGTTCACAGTTGAAGAATCTCAGTCATATTACACTTCAATTAAATTTTGAGAATAAAAAAAGATGTTTCGAGAAAAAAGAGAAAAAAATGTTAGAATGTTAGCAAAAAAATGCTGTGAATTCACAGTGAAGCAAAAGGCTGAAAGAGATGGTTTATTTTATTGCATGGCGTGTCATTTTGGTCTGGCAAAAAGAAATGTGTGTGTAGGCCAGTAAGGAACATCCCCTTGGCCCAGTGAAAAAAGATGATGTCGGGCCCATGTGGACCCTGTGCTTGCTCATTATCTGTGATGTTAATTAAAAAATAATTATTGACGTCTGTAAAGTGTGCAAAATGTCTCTTGAAATTTGCCTGGCCCAAGTACAAGGTTCGCCTTCCTGTTCTCAATAAAAGCAGAATGGGGCCTTACTTTTATTGTTCTGCACGTCTGAAATTTGACAATGTGGTAGTCCGGGTTACCATTTAATAGAGGAACTTTCAGTGCAACACTCGACAGAGACCTGGGCTTCCTGTGAGAGGGTTTGCAAGGCGAGCAGCTCGTTATCAAAGTTAGGAGGCAGAAAGGAGCAATACCCTGAGGTCACAAAGTGATAAAATCCTGAGAACTCACACAACAAAACCGGGGTCTGTCTTTCTAACCTTCAGGTTCAGAGGTCAAGCCTGCAACTCATTACCTACTGAGATTAAGAATGCGGCCGGTCTGTTAAGAGCTCATTATTCTTAAACTGCACCTTTCTGTTGCTGTTAATTCTTTCTTCATCAGGAGATTTTACAATAACCGGTTTATTGTACTGTTGTCTTTCAAGTGTCTGGTACAACTACCATCTATCTCAAAGTGCAACTCAATTCCTCACCACTGAACCCCCACCTTCACGAGCTCCTTATTGTAGGTGGAAATCCCATTCGTGATGGGCATACAGTACAGTATGTGTAAGCACCAGCTATCCAAGAGGTTTAAGGAGATGGATTTTCTTAATTTATTTAAGGGGTTTGCTCAGATTATATTTCAGAATTCACAAAGGTCTTCTAGGAAAACAGCAGCTATAGGACATAAGGTTGCTGTAGAGGAGTGTGAGAGGAAAAAAAACATCGTTCCACATGTCCTGATCTTCACTCAGGTCCCTCACAATAACCTCTCAATATCTGCAAGTGCATTTCTGCCATTTCTGCTGCCCTGAACCATGTCACCTTTCACACTGCACGTTTCAGATTACAGGAACAAATCCAATCTGCTTGTTTGTTTCAATCTGATTGTTCCAATCCGATTGTGCTCCTAAAACGCTCAACCGCAGTGCCGTCTTGGGGCTCCCCAATGTCCCTGTGGCGGTCCCAGTGGCATAAGCACAGGGACTCTGGAGTGCAGAGCACAGTAATTAGGGTGAGTGCAGTGACTTTTGTCTGCAAGGAGGCAGCTGGGCAGACCAGGATCAGTCCCAGCTCATTCCATCAGAAAAACAAAGCAAGGCCTTCCTCTCATTTTCTTGTAAATCCTGGTTTAGAGAGGAGACCTGACTGAATCTGGACACCTAGCAACGCTTTCTGTAGCCACTGACGCATCAAACAACTGCTAAGAAAAACAAACAAAAGGAAAAGGCCAAAAACTTTTTTTTGAAGTGTTTGAATTTAAGTCCTTGTTGGTCTCTATGGTCTCCCTGTCATCAGACCTGCGTGTAATCCCTCCATTGTGCACTAAACGAGGGCACACAATGGCCTGCACCCTACCCTCTCTGCTTTGTCCAGCCCCTAGGAAACAGCACCTGTGCTAGCTCTCTTCATCAGGTGCTGCTTTACATCCGCATTCAGAGAGCTTTACTGGCACGAACTATGAGTTACAGTGTAGGGACTGAGTGTCTGATGGACAGACAGCCACCGCCCAGTCCTCCTGCTCCCTCAAAGCGTTCTGTTCCTTCAGCAGCATCGATAGGCAGGGAACAGGTAGTGTTTAGATGCTATAATGTATATCACTGAGCCTTAAGAGCCAATTCCTCACTTTATCCAAACTGTTTGCAAAGACACAGCAAATATACTTAATCCTTTTAATTAAAATTGATAAAGAAAAACACATTTGCCCTCAAAGTATTGGTTGCCCAGGCAAAGCGTGGAGGGCTGCTGTAGGAGGACTGAAGGGCACAGTGCATGAAACCTTAAGGGCGTCTCTGATCCCTATTCGGGCCCACGGAGAAGGACAGCAGTATTCGGCTGGCGACAGCAGTTGTTGGCTCCTGTGGCAGTGTGAACGGAGAGCGTGTCTGTGCGCTCAGAAGCCCTGTCTTTCAGGACAGGCCCTGTTGCAGCCTTTGAAGGTGCAGACAGACAGACAGACGTGGGAATCCCTGTCCTGGCATAGCTGACATGGCTGGAATTGTTTGCAAACATTGTTTTGGATTGGAAATGCCGTAGCTGGGATCCTAGGATCTTGGATCCTGGGACATGTGATAAAACGAGCAGAACAGCGGACCACAAATCGTGAAATCCAGACATCCGGCTCCAGAAAATTTTCACTGCATTGTCTTATCTTATCATGTTCTCAAATTCTCACTGAATGAAAAAAACCCAACGCTGCTAAAGATCTAGATGATATAACGCAGAATGAAAGAACATGGATCTGTTTGTTTAAAGATCTCATACTGCAAGTCTTTTTTTTCTCCTACACCACTGCCTTCACACAAGCACACAAAAAGACGATTATGTTTTCAAATACCTTTGTGTGCGGTGAGCCTGTTGTAACTATTGTAAGACTCGTTTCTCCCACACCTGCCAGAATCGGAATAACTCTCAATCCCACTGGGGGAGGGGGGATGAAACTCAATAGAGCTGCAGACCAGTATGTGATCTCCTGTCACAGCCTGAGGAACAGAGGAACAGAGCCTTGCAAACAATAACATTATATTCTTGTTCTGAATGTTTACTGTTTACTGTTTGGGGCGGAGCGGTGGCTCTGTGGTTAAGGATCTGCACTTGTGGCTGGAAGGTTGCCGGTTCAAATCCCACAGCTGGCAGAGGAATCCTACTCTGTTGGGCCCCTGAGCAAGGCTCTTAACCCCAACTGCTCCAGGGGCGCCGTACAATGGCTGACCCTGCGCTCTGACCCCAGGCTCTCTCCCTGTCTGTGTGTCTCATGGAGAGCAAGCTGGGGTATGCGAAAAGACATATTCCTGATGCAAGAAATTGTAAAGGGTTAATAAAGTAATGTTAATGGTTTCGGCTTGAGCAAGACTGTAGCTCATCAGTCCTGCAAGCTAAGCTTTTTGAACTTGGATATGAATGGCTCTTGACGGGGCAGCTTGGTGGTGCAGTTGTTTGAAGTGCTGGGAGTTCAATTCCGGACCTGGGGTGCTGTCTGTTCGGACCTTGCATGTTTTCCCTGTGTTCATGTGAGTTTCCTCTGGATTCTCTGGTTTCCGCCTACAATCTAAGGACATGCTGGCGGGTTGCTTAACTTCTGGGAAAATTGGCCCTGGTGTGAGTGTGTGTGTGTTTGCGTCTGTCTGCCCTGCGGTGGACTGGCCAGTCCAGGGTGTGTCCTGCCTTGCGCCTGTTGCTTGCTGGGATAGGCTCCAGCTCCCCCGCGACCATATACGAAAGACGTGGTTAAGAATGGATAGGTGGTTTTTGACCACCAGTTGGCTGAAGCACCCAGCTCTGCTGCTGTGGAGATGCATGGTCAGTGTTTGTCATCGTTTCATCAATTTCCCTTCGGGATCAATAAAGTCTTATCTATCTATCTATTGAATGTCACTGATTTGTGGTTTGTACCTTCTGCACACGTCCGTCTGGCAGCTCTTCCCTGGCCCAGAGGAAAGGTGATAGTGGGGGGATGTTCGCTTCTTGTTCCCAAACATCTCCTTTGTCTGAGACAACCAGGCGAAACCAGGCATTTCGTGTATCAGGTTGCTAATTAACTCAGCACACACACACAGTCCACAGCAAACACCATCCGTGTTTACCTTAATGGGATAAGGAAGAGTAGGGCTGTGCAAAGGCGTTTCTTTCTCACCCCCTTCCCCCCCCCAAAAAAAAGGATACATGCAGTCCTGCAACCCTTTCAAAGGCCTTTCAAAGTAATGCTCTGACACACAATCAAATGCCTAGTCTTCCTTAGGACAAATCACACAGCATCCCTCTGGAGCCTTTGGAGCACACGCATGCTGTAGTCTTTACCACTGGGGTGGAACTGTTCATCACAAAGGATCTTAAAGCCCTTCATACATAGCACAGCGCACACCTGGGTGACAAGCTCCAGCCCTTCTGGGCCCCCAGCTGCACGACACAGCAGCCCAGGGGGAGGTAAGACACTGCTTCACCACCTGACACAAGGCGAACGAGGGCGACAGTCTAGATAGTATGAGTGCACCCCTACTCCGCACTCAGTGCCACGGGACTTGAATGAGCAGGCAGTCAGCACCCCAGTTTACCTCCACGTCTGAAAGACGGGGCGTAAACACCATGGGAGCGCCGACATGGGCGTTAGCCTTTCGGGACTGTGCTGAGACTGCGTGACAAACGGGTCAAAGGAACGTAAGAAACCGCAGACCCCGTGGAAAGGCGAGCCGTTTGCTCGTACTCCTGCAACAGGGAAGAAAACCGCTCAGCGCGAGGTCATGAGAGGAAGGCAGGGGCGAGGGATTTGCTTTTTGGTTGGGCCCATCGTTCTCAAATAGAAAATCTGAAAATCCCAGCACGGGAACCGCCAGTGTGGACTTTTCCGAAGGGGCTGCTGGGTGGCGTGCAGGCGGGCCCGGTGGGGGGGAGAGAGTCTGAGGAATGAGGGTATTTTGATGAGGAGTGGTGCCGGCTCTCTGCGTGACAGGGTGGCGTGCCGGCACTGTTTATCTCAGACGCTAGCAGATGTGTTCGGACGCCGGATTCCTCTGCTGAAGAAAGACCCCCCTCCGCCCGCGAAAATATTACAGCAACCCCGTATCAGAGCAACAACAACAACACAGCAGCACCTCGAGTGTTTGCTCAGCTGCATAAGCTTTGTTTCTTAATATTAAAACAGCAATGCCCCCCCAAACACACACACCCCTTTTCATTCTTTTCGCCCTTTTTGTTTTGTTTCATTTTCTGTAAAGTACTAAAGCACTGCCTATTCAGGCTCCGCTTGCTCCCAGATGGGAGGAGGAGAGAATTCGAAGCCCTAAAAGTTGAGAAGGTGAGCACAGGGTCAATGCTCCTCTTTAACTGAGTACTCCAGCACAGCACCACACAGCACAGCCCAGCACCACACAGTACCACACAGCCCAACACCACACAGCACAGGAAAGCAAAGCACAGCACCACAGAGCACAGAACAGCACAGTATAGCACCACACCGCGTAACACAGCACAGCATAGCAATGGATAGCACAGCACTGCAACACACAGCTCAGCACAGCACCACACCGCAGAGCACTGCACCACAATGCATAACACAGCACAGCGCCACACCGCACCGCATAGCATAGCACAGCTCAGCTCAGCTCAGCACAGCTCAGCTCATCTCAGCTCAGCTCAGCTCATCTCAGCTCAGCACAGCTCAGCTCAGCTCATCTCAGCTCAGTACAGCACAGCACAGCACAGCACTGCAAGCAGAGAGAGGCCACATTCTCTCCTGTAATTAACCCAGAGGCGATGCAGTTTGCACACTTGCAACCTTCGGGGCTGCAGGCGTTGAAAATTCAATTTAGAATGAGTGTGCAATTAGCAATTAAAAAAAACACACCAAAGTAACAGAAGCATGTATTGCCCTCCCCTAGGGCAAAAATCTTTTGGGTGTTGTTCTGTTCTGTCAAGGGTTTGAATTATGGAACTGTACTGTTGGCTTATTTGGATTAACATGTATGAAGCACTGAACAGATGGAGTGAAGTGGCAGCTCAGCTCACCGCGTTTCGTGAGTCTTCGTCTGCCTGTGATGGAAGGCTCATTAATACCCAGCTGCACTGCGGCCCTGCAGGCAAACCGGAGTATCCAACGTGAACCTGTGACACTCGCGCCCGGGCCGCGGGGGGGGGTCTCACCTGCGAAGATGCGCAGCCTCCTGTGGCGGGGGGGCAGCCCCAGCCCCGAGCCACTGCACTCGTCCTCGTCGTCGCAGTCGCCGCTCTCCAGGACCTCCTCCTCCTGCTCCGCGCCGCCCCCGCCCGATCGGGTCTTGAACCTGCGCCGGGGGGCCGACACCAGTCTCAGGAGCTGGAGCAGAAAGAGAGCCGGACACGCACACCAGTCGGCATGAGGCAACGTGCAGCACAGAGGCCTCGTTCAAGCACACTGGGAAGAGTTTTGGTCACTGTGTTGCAGGAAACATATTGCTGCTCTGGAATCATTCCAGAAAGGAGCAACCAGAGACATTCCTGGACTTAAGGGAATGTCCTTCACTGACAGGCTGAACAAGGTTGGACCCGAATCAAGCATTCAAAATCCTCACCGGTTTTGAATAAAGCTCCAAATGAATACAGGCCCCGACACAGACAGCCCAGCAGATTTTTTTCCAAATGAGCAGTGAAACACGACCCAGAGGACACATGCGGAAACTATGTGGAAATGCACTTAAACCAGAGAACAGAAATCATTTATTGACCCAAAGGGTGGTGAGAATGTGAAACAAGCTGCCCCCCCGTGTTGTTGAAGCCAGTACCCTGGCTTCTCTCGAGACGTGGCTGGATGGGATCCTGGGATCAATTATCTAGTAACTACCAAGCAAACCGCATGGCCTCCTGTCTGTATCCTTTCCTACGTTCTTAAAAGTCATGGGTGTCCATCTGTACTTCCCTTCCTGAATCCAGTGAAACCTAATTCCTGGCACTTTGGAACCATTCTGACAACAAGAATTCACACTCACAAAGAGTTCCAGCTTAGGGGCGCCAGCTCTGTACTTTTGGGGGCAGGAGACAGTCAAGTGACAGTGAGTCTACTGACGGCCATGCTGTGGCAATGGAATCGCTCAGTTTCAAGGGCTGGAGTCCAGCAGTGGTCTTCCCTGCAACCATTCCTCATGCCTCTAGTGTCACTTTTGCCATCCTGTGACAGCTTTCACACACACAGCCAAAACAAAAGGCTAAATGTTAGAGAGCGGCTTCTCACCCGGTGAGCTTCACACATTCCCTCATGTAGTGCTCTGCCTGCCCACGTGGTAAAACATTCCGGCGACACACGGGGCGCACGCTTCCGCAATCAAAGACATCCTATTTTTAACACGAAAGAGAGCGAGAGCAGAGCTGCCTAAGAAAAGGTCACTTTCTCGTGATGCGCAGTCGTTATTTAAAGAAAAAATGAAAGTGCCTGAGTGAGGCCTAATTGAAGCTGGCCAGCACACACACATACAGAACTACACACGTGGAGCGCGAGGGCACAAAGATTGTATTACAGGCGACTCGATTATGATGTGTGTGTCTCTCTCAGAAGGCATTTACCCTCTCTGATGCAAGCGCTAATCCCTCCGTGTTGTTCCCATGGAGACCCCCTGGGCTTCGGAGTGAGGTCCTGTTTTTAATGGCACGCTGCTCGCTGCGATACAGTGAGTCAGTTCATCCCGAAGACGGGGCAGCCAATTTCAAGAGCAGCTCGACTGCGAATAAACAAGTTCCAGGGGGCGTCTGACAGGGCGCTCTCCGCGCCCAGCCTGAGCCAGCAGGGCCCAGCACCCCCAGCAGGCAGCATCGCCCCGACTCCTCCAAGTCAACAGCACACGCAAAGCTTTGTGGCATCAATCGAGATACTCACCCAAAGTTATAAAATATCGGGCCTGGAATTGGTGCCCTTCATTGCGGTGGGAGCCAGCTTTCTTGATATACTGCCTTTTCTGAAAGGGGTGTGTGTGCCTTGAAAGTAAACACTGCGGCCATATTTATGGCTTTTGGGAAATCAGGCTTCGGTCACCCAGTGTGCCAATCTCTGAATCTGATGTGGCTGTGATACAAGGGCAGTGAAACACTTTTGAGTTTGCCACATACAGAAGTGAAAAAATACCCAACAGCAGCAGTTTTGGTGCCTGAGAGAAAATGAAGTGTGTCCAGACATGTTGTCCTCAGCAGCTATGAAGTGCAGTTAAACACTGACTCTAAATTTAGAATGCTCATAAACTTTAGGCAATACATTAAACAAAGTTGCAATCTTGTGCCAGTGCCATTGTTAAATATAAATATTTATGCTTTTTTGTAAAGTCATCTCCCGACAGACCCACAACAGCCTTCTTGTCTGGATGTCGGTGTGACTCTGTGTGTCTTGAGAACGATGCACTGTGAAACAGCCAGCCACCTTTCTCCCGGAGAGTCTGGGCATAACACCGTTGAGGGTTTATTTGAAGCACTACAAGAAAAAGGATTGGATGGGTCCTACAATAACACAAAAATGCGGAGCAGAGACACAAAAAATCACACGAAAATCATCTTAATCCTCGGAAATTAAACTGCTGCTTCTGTTCCCTGTCAAAAGGGAGATTCTCTGTGTCTCTGGCATGGGGAACCAGAAGCTTTGTGACCAGAAGAAATGAACATGGCCGATATCAGCAAACGTGCGCTCCCTCTGGGACAGACCTGGGAGCTTTCTCGCGCCGCTCAACAGTCCAACAAGATCCTACGTCACACCTGCTGCTCAGCACATTCACAGGGTAATGCAGACAAGAGACAGGAGACAGCCTGGGAAGGGTTCTACAGAATATAGGATTCAACAGGACTTGCAGGCGGCCAGACAGAATTCTGCAGCTCTCTGCACAGAGATGAGAGGTCTGACATGCCCTTGGGTTGTATTAAGTGCCAGGGGACCCCAAATGAGGTCCGACAAAAGAAGAGTGCTGGTCTCCAGTGAGGCCCTCCACACCTACAGCAGTACCATGACAGGAAAGATGATTCAGGCAGCCATCTGACAAGGCGCCCCACCCATCAGAGCATTCGGCAGGGGGTCTGAGATCACGAAGGGGTGTGAGCATGTGTCGTGACATCGCATCTCCATCATGACACACAGCAGGGAGGGGAAGGAGAGGTGCAGTGATAAATAACGTGCCCCCTGAGCCTGCTAATGATCTGTTTGGAGAACCATGCCTGAAACTGGGCTTTTACTGTCATTTATCAGCATTTTTGATGTAAAATTTTAGGATTCTTTTCCGCTAGTCTTATATATATACAGTACACTGTATGGCGTTCCTTTCTAATTAAACGGTTAAAGCTTTCACCCACTGCAAATAAAATAAAATAAAATAAAAAGAGCCTCTCACGTCTCTTCCTAATCTCTAAACCCAGTACAAATACATTGGCATGTGTTACGATCCAGGTGGCACCTGAATGAAATGCAGAAAAGGGCTGACAATCTCGCGCTCAGAGTGACGGCCCTCCACTTCATCGGCTCCTGATCCCCGAGCAGCAGCTGCACGAGGGTCTACACGAAGAGCCCCTGTGGGCTTGTTGCACCGGAGCGTGTCGGAAAAGTTCTTATTTTTAGCGCTGTTCATCAATATTATTTTTTCTGCTGGGCCCGCGCTGTGGAGCTCTTGAAATGCGGGCGCGCAAGAGGTTCGCTGTCAGGTGTGAATGAGAGGGCTCTGTCAGCCTGTGTTGTGAAACCCCCTCCCCTCTCTGCTCCAAGCGCAGGAGCAGCTCCAAGCGCAGGGAAAAGCAGGCGGAGAGGCCGGATCGCCCCCGAGAACAAGCACGACCTTGTTGTTGCCTCGCTGCGATCCCGAGGTTTGCTTTTAAAAAAAACGCCGGCAAAGTGGCACGCCTGCCAAGTCCGTATGAGGGTTTTTTTTATTTTCTTGCGTTTGTTTGGTTGTTTTCATAAAGGGAAAATTAAGTTCAGATGGGCTAGCTCTGGAAAATGCAAAAAGGGAACTACACATAGTTTTACAGAGGTTGGCGGGGCAACGTCCACTCAGATTTCACTTGAACCATCAATTTTCTGTTGATACAGAAGAACAGTGGTATAACCATAAACTGACAGAAAGTGTTGAGACAGAAAACAATTTTCCACCCTTTCTCCTTTACCCAGCAGAATCTCCACCTCCATGATTATCCATGCACAGTGCATTAAAATGTCTAACTCTATAGCTGTGGACAAGAAATCCACACTTCCTGTCTTTTTAAATTTTGCACAAGGCACGTGCAAACTCTCTCCAAACCTCTATTTGGTAACACTTTATTTAAATGCAGTCTCGTGAAGCCAGACTAACAGATACATACAAACTATGTAAACACTTCAATAAAACCCGATCATGGTAGTAAATCATAGTAAATCAGATCTTACACAAGGCTTGGGTAACATGACAAAGTGAAGCCAATACACGGTTCATAGTTCTAATGATTAAGAAAATAATGAGCAAGGTCATTGCAGAAACATTCATCTCATCGTAAAATGACATAGCGAACCAGATAACAGCAGCGTGGAGCAGTGGCCAGGGCTCTGAACTCGTAACCGGAAGGCTGCGGGTTCAAGTCCCTGGTGGACCCCTGCTGCTGCAGCCAGTAGGTACAGTTCCACGTCACTTCGGACAAAGAGATTACATACAGCATAGTCCTTGTTATTCATGAAGAATTTCTCCAACACTGACTGACTTAAACAGTACACTTCTTGAACAGCGAAGACTATGAGGGGACCTGACTCATATTCGAAACATGCAGTGCGGATGACTTGTTCAGAACCAAGAGTGAAACATGAACATGAAGAGATCACAAATGGAAACTGCGAAAGTGCATTTAAAACTGAGAGCAGGAGGTACTTCATTACACAAAGGGTAGTGGGAGAGTGGATCAAGATACCCAGCCATGTTGTCAGTACATTGGCTTCTTTTATGATATGGCTGGATGAGATCCCTGGATCAATTAGTTACTGAACAACCAGGAGAATAAGACTGCTGCCCTCCTATTAGTAACTTTTATTATGTTCTTAATGCCAGTGGTCCTCCAGTTCAACAAATACTATTTCTTCTTTCAGAAGCAAAAATCAGACAGCCTTAGAACTTGATTTATTTTTATTTTTTATAATTAGCAGCATTAATGTTTGTGTTGCCAAACCCAGAATGTGGTTTGTGGTAGATTCCTCTGTGATAGCCACAGCCCGGCGATGCCCAGTGTCACACATAAAACAAACTCCAAAGCAGAGCAATGCAAGAATGTATAAAAAAACAGAAGACATACCCTTTCTTCAAATCTTGAGACCTTCTGTAGGCAAACAAATTGAATGCACTAATAGACTAAAGCCAC